TGACCAGAAATTGGAGACTAGAAACATTACAGAACTTAGCCTGACTGTTCATGTGGTAACATGAACTATTAGGAATCAAGAACTATGAAATAATTCCAGAACTTGCAGTATGGTCTTCTCTAACCTCAATGTAAATAAGGAACCAAATGTTGCAATCCAGACTTTTAGAACAGGTCTCTGGAAGCTGCTGTAATGCCGAGACTGTGGCTTGTGAGTACAGACACAAGTGGGGGGCCCTGAGAGGTCACCTTCTCCTGGTCAGGCGCCTGCTGGAGCTCCAGCCCGGTGCAGATGGAGCTGCACATCAGGCCCGTCTTCCTGCTGGCTCCAGGAGAATGTGTGTCCCCTCAGAGGCAGCAGTGTGGGCCTGGGTGAGGGTTGGATACAAACCACCCTGGGGTTATGTTATGCTGTCCTGTTGGCATAATCCAGCCTCAACCGTGAAGGCTACTAGCGTGTAAGCAGATCAGAGCACATGGGTTTGCCTGTTCTGAGGCTGTTTCTAGATTTGTTTATTTTATTTATTTAGATTTTTCTAAAGCTGCGAACAGTGTTGCCAGCTGCTACAAAAGTGGGGGCTCCTGCACCATCAAATGTGGATTCCGTCAGAAAAACATCGGCACCTGCGGCCTTCCTTTCTCCAAATGCTGTAAATGACAGCGAAGCCAAGAGATGATAGTGATGCACGCAGAGCCAGAAATCTGTCCCTGAGAATGCATCTGTCAAATTAAAGCACTGCTGAAACCAAAGAATCGTGCCTTCAGATTTGTGGCGCTACTGAAGTGTAATTCCCACAAACCTGTTTCTGAAATCTTCCCAAAACACCTTTAAGGTCTGAACAGGGTGACCAGGGACACTGTCTCTGGGCTCTTGTGTGCTTTCCAAGTTTGTGAGCCCCTGTCATCCCTCTGGCCTCCCTAATTTCTGCCTTATAGTGCTGGTGCTTCCCTGAGACATGGGTTCTGCTACCCAGTCCCTTTGCACCCTCCGGAGCCTGGGCGCTGCCTCCTGCCCTGTCCCAGCCCGAAGGCCACTGCTTCACAGAGCCAGGAAAGGCAGATGCTGCACGCTCCACGCCTCAGCAGTGCTCACTTCTCTCTGGTCGCTGGACTTAGTGACACCTCACTCACTTGCAGGCAGAGTTCTAGCCGACTCCTCGCATGGACATCTCAGTGGGTGTGAGTTTTGCCTATTTGTTCACACACTTGTCATTGAAAGGAGACTGAATTCACAAATGAGTGCAAATGGTGTGCCAAAGCTGAGTGGCACCAAGTTTTCTTAATGCAGAGATAGTAGGATAAGCACCAATAAAGGGGTAAAGCAAGTCTTTAAGGAGGGCCACAGGAAAGCAGGGAGTCAGGGCTATGGGCCCATGCAAGACATAAGAGGCCACTGGCACTGGGAAGGAAGATTATCTTGCAAAGGAATATATTTTCCAAAAATGCGTTCTTATACATGGCTCTGAGCAGCACTCCAAGGCCATCCCTAGCTAACTCATGACGGCGTCACCTGCGCACGGCTGTTTCTTCACACTGACTCTTCGTTTACAGGCCTATACTCTGCTTCTGGTAAAGGGAACTGTGTTCCCCAATAATACTGCGGACCTCAAAAATCTCAAGGAGAAAATAAAATGAAACCTTGTAAGAGTAAAAAGCATTTAATCTAGATAGATAGATATATCTCCCATGGAACCTGGTCACAAGGTCAAATTAAGTTATCAAAAGTTGAATATTAGTATAATAGCGATAATTTTAATATAAGCACCAAAAAGTCACAATTAGTTATATACTGAGCTTTCAACTACACACCAGATCGAAACCTAATACACTCACTGCTTGAATCCACTTCTGCCCCAGCTGGTTAGAGTGTCCTCATTCATGAATTTTTAGAAACTGAAGTATTTTTCATTCAAAATAGGTGGCTTGAGCTCTGGGGACTAGAAGCAGCTCTCCCCGATTGGAGAGCAGAGACAAAGATCAGCACAGTAAAGAAAGTGGTCACTGCGACTGTCCCACCCATTCTTGTTCTCCAAGTGGATGGTAAAACTGTCCCAGGGAGAAGCTGCTCGTCCCTTGGGGAAGCACTTTGGTAGCAGTCAGCTCACGGTGCAATAGCTGTGACAAAATAACCCAGACCTGCAACTTAAAGAAGGACAAGCTTGTTTTGGCTCATGGTTTAGACAGTTCAGTCCTTGACTGGTTGTACAGAAGTTAGTAAAGGCATGAAAGAAGAATGACAGAAGAAAGCTGCCCACCTGGCGGCACGCTAGAAGCACAGCATGACAAGTGGCATCTGGGACAAGTCCATACTCTAGCAGCCCAGCCTCACTGACTGAAATCCAAGCAGGTTCCACTCCCTAGTGACGTAAGCACTCGTGCTACCCAGCGCTGAAACGATGCCCTTGAGAGCAAGGCCCCTGCGTGAGCCCATCACCTTCCAAGCATTGCATACCCAAGCCATAGCGTTCCAACCCTGGCACCCAAAAGCTCATATCCATTCCGTTGTCCACAGTCCACTTAGTTCAGTCCAAAGTGTCATGCAATCTTACTGGTTCCTGCCGGTTGAAACGTTCAAGAACAGCATTTTCCTTGAGACTAAACACAACTTTATCTGTGTGCCCCTGTGAAAATCAAAACGTAAGGGTTCAATCCCTGGTACTGGATGCTGCGCCAGCCCCATCCCCAGGCGCACTGAGCCAGCCATGGAGTACAGGGCATGCCTACAATCCAAGCGCTAGGGAGGTTGAAAACAGGAGGATCACTACGAGTCCAAGCTGCATAGTGAGACGCTGCGCACACACACACACACACACACACACACACACACACACAAAGCCACCTAAAAAAAGTCAAAAATGAAAGTCAATTCTAATAAATAACAGCATAACACAAGCAAAAGATGGAAGAGTGCGGTATAAAAAGGAGTGGAGCTGAAGCAAGCGTGAAATACAGCTGCGAAGCATAATGCCCTGGAGCTTCTGGGTGGGTTCCTGGGAAACATTTTGGCAACATACATGCTGCAGGGCTCAGGGGCCCTCCACTTGAAGAGCTGCTGATCCCAGCCCTTGAAGCCTCTTTTGAGGCTGCCTTCCACTGCCTGCAGCTTTCCTCTCTACCTCAGGCCTTCAGGATGCTGTGTCTCCACTCTCATTTCAGTCCTTGCTCTGTCAGGGGTACACTGTCTAGTTTTGTGCGTCTTCCTCTGAAGTCTGGGTGGAAGCCACCAGGGCCTGCCTACAGTTTTGTTCTGTATGCCAGAACTCATGTGGGTGTCCCAAAGGCTGCTGCCCACGTGAGCACAGCCTCAGCGCTTGGTCCCACCATGGCTGCGGGTGGCTCTGAGAGCGGGATGACTGAGCTCAAGAGTGAGCACGGGTAGGTAGTGAAGAGGGCACCCTGGTATATCTTCTCAAAGCAAATTCTTTCAGAGTTCTTCACCTTACTACACCCTCAAGCCTATGCAGGGTGGACTCCGGCCACTTCTTGAGAGATGGCCCTCCTGTCCTTCCTACTGTGCTGATGCAAGATACTTTCCTTGTTTTTAATATTAACTTTCTAGCAATCATGTTCTCCTTTGCCCCAACTTTGCCAGGGGGCTGCTGGATGTGGAGTTTAGATAGAGAATACAGCCAGCAACCCACCTCCCCTTGCATGAGCAAGGCGCATCTTCCGTGGGCTCTCGGGACCCTGCCACTCAGTCCCTAGCTCTCCATACTTCCTAAGTTCCCGCCTGCCTTCTGCAGCGCTCTCGGTTGCATCCTCCTCCTCCCCTGCTGCCAGCTGCCCTGTGTCACAAGGGCTTCTCCCTGAGCCAGACCCAAGCTCTCTGCCCTTTCGAACCACTTTGCGAGACAGGATTCAGGAAGACTTTGAGAAGAAGGCCAAGGGGCTTCCTGTCACACTTGCTAAGTCTGGAGATCCAGCTGCACTGGAGCTGCAGTCTCGGGGCCTTCTTTCTCGCGCGACCCTTTAGGCTGTGCCGCCCGCATTACACACAGCTCTGTTCTTTTCTGCTAGAATCGCTCCAGGTTTCATCTCTGAGCCTCAAGCCATGCAAGGCCCTGGTCTCAGGTGAAAAGCCAGAGTCCTCTGGGAAAGGTAAAGGCATCCATTCTTGCTCACTGTGATCTCATTTATAGATCTTCCTGCTGCTTTTACAGCAGTCTTCCTGCTACTTGATTTTCAAGGACAAATAACCATTAAAACGCTCACCCCAGTCATCAAGCAGTTTTGCCCCGAGCATAGTGACGACTTTGTTTGCTTTACTAAATCTCTGCACTACAACTAAAGCCCACACAGCACAAACATTAACTTTGAATAAAAACTTGTCACTCTCTGTATGATTCCCTCTGAATACCATTTCAGAGCACTGGCCTCCTTTCCCGTTTACTCTTTTTACTTATTTCACCATCTTTTTTTCAGTGTGTGATTTCAGCTGTAATTTGACTTTATTTCACCATTATTATTGGAATTTTCATTTAACTGGTAGAAGTTATCCTATAAAATCAGTGCACATTTTTATCATCTCAGCATTCCTGGGAGTTCTACGATGACTCCCAAGGGGAAGGAATATGTTTCTGACTTCAGCAGCTGAAGTTGCTTTCTGTGCCACCAGGGAAGGGATGCACTGTCCCCAGAAAGAGCTGCCCACGCTCCCAGCAGTGCCCACCACCTTTCCCCGTGGCCTCTGGGGCTCTCTCTGCTACCTTAGGGACGTGGCTGCAGCGATTCCTTCTCTCATCCTCTCGCCCCTCCTATCTTCCCTACAGAATCAATCAACCTAAAACAAGCTCCTCTCCTTCAACACTGCATCATCTACCCTCCAACTACTGTCACTTGCTTCAGCACTTTCAGTGAAATCCTTCGAGACCGGTGTCTCCACAGTCCGCACCCACTTCCTCTTTGTCTCTTTCCCATCATAAACTATAAACAATGAGGTCACAATGCTCCCCTTACAGCATCACTCAGTCACTCAGACCCATTACGACCCCACAATCTCCTGGTAGTGGTTGCCTGCTCTCAGGTCCCTGCCTCAAGAGACAGCATAAGGCGGGTGCCTGGTGGAGGAACAGCCCCAGGTAAGCTTTTGGAAGAGACTTACGGCGGGTTGCACCCTGAGGGGTGCCTTTCACCGTACAAGCAAAGGCAAGAAACATGCAGGAAAATGCTTCCTGTGTGTGCTTTCTTTTTTTTTTTAATATTTTATTTTATTTATTTACTTTTGCAGAACCAGGGATTGAACTCAGGTCCTTTCGCTTGCCAGGCAAGTGCTTATTCCACTGAGCTATCTCCCCGGCTCCCTGTGTGTGCCTTTTATGATTAGCAGCAGCAGCTGTTGCTTCGGTCTGAATATTTCTTTCCTCCTTAAAATTTGTATGGAAATGCCAACCGTAATTTTGGTATTAAAGGATGAGGGTTTAAGAAAGTGACTCATGAATGGAATATGCCTTTATAAAGAGGGTGTGCGAGGACCCAAAAGGCGCCAGTCTCTGAAAATGGGCCACCAGCAGATGCCCGATCAGTTGCTTCCTAGATCTTATATTCCCAAGCTTCCCCACCCATAGGAAACAGACTCTAGTTCTTCATATATTACTCAGCCTAAGAAATTTTACTGTAGCGTCCTGAATGGACAAAGCTGTCAGTATTGTCTTCATAATTATTATGTAAGTATGTTTCTGAGATAGGTCATATAAAACCCTCGAAGCTCCTCCTGTATTCAAGTAAACCTAACTCAATTAAATATTTAGTAGAAACCCTTGGTTTTGAGTTTCCAGATCACTAGATATCTGATTTCTACATACCGAAAAGCTCAAGTGCTGACTGCTAGTCTGAACGGAGCACTTTTCATCCTTAAGTTACTTCTGGGCCAAGAGAAAATGTTGAAAGTGAATTCAGTTCATGTTCTGAGAACACCGTGTTGTTTCCAAGAAAAGGTAGAGGGCCCAGGGTTAGTGAGCCTGGGAAGGGTAGGCGTGTGAGTGCAGGAGCCTGAGAGCCAGAGGAGAGCCGCTAGTGGGGGCTTCACCGCTTCACCCCCAAAGCCCCAGGAGGGGTCGCCTCGCCGAAATATTAAAGAAGCCTTCTGTTGAAGCCTCAGTTTTGCTCAAAAGCTAATTTCAATGTATTCTAGTGTCATGAAGATTTAATAAGACATAACAAATCATTTTATACACTCAAAAAGAAGTAACCAGAAAAGCCGGCTCAGGTTACCTGTAGGATTACAAATTGTGGTAATGCTGTGCATGTTAGGAAGGGACTGGGACTGGGATCAGCTAGCTCATATGGCACTTGTGTGAACTAAAATGACACATTCAACACTCTGGTGTGGGTTATAGGTGTTTTAAGAAAATGTTTTTACTGGACTGGCAAGAAGAGGAAGATCAATATTATTTTACAATATCATGCAAATTTATTAAGGTGGAATACTTAGTAACTAAAGTTCAATCTAGTTTCATAAATATTGCTAAGCACTTGTTCTTTTGAAGACCAATTTTCTTCTGCCAAAAAATTTACTATAAGTGTCTAATTTCTTGAGCTCAAGCAGGAAGATTTAGAATTTATTTACTTTCAAATTTCAGCATTTTTCTGAGATAGCCATCCTTTGGTAGTGTCGTAACACCTTGTGTGATTTAACGGACCCATAAATTGACTGAAATGCCTGTGTCGGTGTTTTGATTGAATGTTTTGGGGGTGGCACTAGCTACAGCAGGATCTACTGCAGAAAGTGGTGCTGGTCCCCCATGAACCCTGCTTAGCCCCAATTTTCTGACAATGAGAAAGGAACTTGGCCAAAAAATCATGACCAAAGCACACAGAAAGAGATATGGCTATAAAATCTTATTTACACAAGTTTACTCAATAGGTGAGTGGTCAGCTAAAGACTTTGAGCTGTGTTTGTCTGACTCAAGAGTTCTTTTAACTGTGCAAAACTGATTCTTTCTCTATCCCTCTAAAGATGAGAGTCTGCTTTAGATACTGTGTGGCAGTCTCATATGGACAGTCTTCCTGTACTCTGGTAGCACAAAAGTAATTGAGAGCAAGTAAGGAGAGAAGTAACTTCCATTTTCAAACCCGCTTCCCTTTTCGTAGATTCTGACAAGTGGTATTAATCTTGTTTTGTATTTCTAAAGGGAAGGCCAAAAAATACAGGGTCACACAATGAAAGTGGATGAATAAGTAGGAAGTCACAAATAATATTCTTTTGTTAATTTTTCTTCTTTAAAAAAAAACCCCATGTTACTCAAAATAAGAAGACAAGGGCTGGTGAGATAGCTCAGCAGACTGAGAGCCTGCTCAGGCAAGCTCAGGGGCTGGGGCTGGGACCCCAAAACCACATGCTGCACCAGCCCCACCCCCGGGCACATTGAGCCAGCCAACGAGACCAGGTGTGGTGGTGCAAGCCTGTAATCCCAGCACTAGGGAGGCTGAAAACAGGAGGATCACTCTGAGTCCAAGTTGCACAGAGGGATCCTGTACCAAGTACATAAAAAAAAAAAAAAAGAAAGAAAAAAAGCTGATATAAAATGTCATCCATAAAGCCCCCCCTCCTTTTTTCCACAAATAGTAGCTTGGATCCACAATCCAATTTCCAGTCACCAAACATTCTCAGGCCCCAGACTGAGCATCTGACCTCCGAAGGCAAGCTTGGCGGTCTCTTCCAGGTTCCCTGTGACCACAGTGCGCTCAGGACACTTCCGGGCTCTCCTTCCCCCGCGAGGCGTGCTTCCCATCATGAGGCTGCTCTTCCTCCTCTTGCTCCTTCTGCTGAGCCTTATCCACACAGCATCAGGTAAGTTTCGACTCCACCTGGCAGGCACGATGTGCGCCTGCATCGCTGGGCACGCCACATCAGCTCAGAAACCACTCAGGCACCAGAGCTCAGAGGAGACTAAGACCAGGGCTGGGGGGCGCTCGGCATGTGACATGTGCTCCCCTCCACAGAGGAGGAAAGAAAAGCGTAGACAAGAGGGGTTTCCCAAGACTATCTGTGATGAGTTGTAATAGATTCCTGACATAATTTTTAGTCGTAATGCCGTACATTTATAGTGGGCTTCACAGGCTTCAAAATATTGCCACTGTGAACTTAACAGCAGCTAGAAATATAGTAATACAGCAACAACAGAGCAAATGTTGTCCACTTATCCTAACCTGTATCACAAAGGAGACTTTGACTGTACTACCCCACACGTACCTGCTTCTCCCGCAACATCGTGTACAGTTGCCTTACTCATGAGATTTAGAAATGACAAATCATCTTCCAAACCACACAGATTAAGTGTAATAAAACCCGGATTTATGAACATATTGAATTAGCACAGCAGAAAATGTTCCTATTAAATACCCCACAATTCCTGAAAATAGATTTACTTATTATGTCTTATGCAAACAGTACTTTTCTGTGTGAGCATGCTGCACACAATATTTGGCACGTGCACGCCCTGCAAGGTCATTGATGTTTCATTGGAGGAAAATTGAAGAGGTCCCAGTGCCACAGCTGGTGGTTTGCCATGTGTTAGCGCTGGCTCTGTCATGCTACGATGAAAACAGCATTCCAAGCTTGGCACTTTGGAAAGGCCATCATGGTCCAAAAGCCTCAGGGCCACGTGGATGCTCTGCTCTCTGGAGCTGATCATACTGAAAGGGAAAAATTGTGCCAGGAAAATCGTTCTTTTTTAAAGTTTATTCTTTTGAAACTGCCTAGTTCTATAACCATTTCGTGGCTCTAATTCCTTTCTTGACCCCTGTAACCACAATGGTGTAGCCAAAAATGCAGGACTCCTGATGGTCCCAAGCTTCACAGCCTCTCACCTCACCTGTACCTGAGGATCTCTCCCTGCTGGCTAATCAGAAGACCCACCAGCCTGCTCCTCCTCACCTTTGTGCCTCCCACTTGTACATCGTCCTAGGTCGTCAGAGATGGAGGCCTGATATTTTGGAAATTATCTCACTCAGTGCCTGTCGATGTAAAACAGACCTGCCTCCAAATCCTGGCTGCCGCTTCGGTGTTTCCATTTGCCACTGCAGAGCTTAGCTAATGGAGCACCCATGGCCATGGGTGTCGTTGGCCACTGCAACGGAAAGACCCTCGAAGAGTCTCACTCTGGCAATCAGGCATATTCCAACCCCGAAAGCACATGTCGCTTCTGCTCAGGATTCATTAATCAGGCAGCCTCGTGGCTGTCACTAAGGATCAGAAGACAACAACTTTTGGTATAACAGAAGCATAAAGTGAGAAGATGCACATGTTCAGCAGCCCGATGTGATAGACAATAGATTGTTCAGATAGGTAGAGACTGGCAGGTAGATGACATACAGGTAAGTACATACGACCGACGGACGGGCGGATGGACAGACGAACGGACAGACAAATGACAGAGGGAAGGAGATTATCTGGTGAAAACTGTGTATGTAATCTCAGACTGGGTGACATCTCGAGGTCTGTACTTATGCTTACATCTTTGTGAAAACAACCTGCCTTCCCACAGCTACGGTCATGGCGGGAACTGGAAGCCAAGTCCCCTGACTCCTTCCTGAGCGTGCTCGGCCACCCGCTCCGCTGAGAGCCTTCATGGCCACGGCCTGCCCTGGCTCCTCCGCTCCTGGGGCCCACACACACCTCAAGCTCTCTCTGCTCTCGGCTGCTCACAAAGCTGCTGCAGCCGACCTTCTATATCACTTGTAATTTTCAGACTAACCCACGGGAGCACAGAAGATTGGTGCCTGTCACGCGCCATGACCTTGACATTCAGGTCCTCACAGCTTGTGAAACAACGCACAAGCACCGAGTCAGGGGACAGCGGCGTTGGGCAGCGAGGGCACCACTCTCGTTGGCCGCTCACCCAAGATTGACGGCCCAATTTGTGCTACACGTTTGCACAGTCTGCTCTTAGAGGTGGAGAAGCACGTTCAGGAGACTTATGAAAGAAAAGCGTGTTACCAGATGAGAAATGCAGGTCTAATCTCACGACACTGTAAAGCTGAGTGCTTTCTGTGATTCAGAGTTTCTTCCTCTGAGGTGGAAGTCCCCTCTGCTCTGGCGGCCCACAGGTAGGCACCAGAGACTTCAGGCTGCGCTGCTCACGGGGCTGCTGCCTTAGCACCTCATGTCTGCGTTTCTCCTGACAGCCTCCACGGAGAAGACGTCATACGGAGAGGGGCAAACTTCCTATTAAACTTCATTAAGGAACGCTAAAATTTAAATTTCAGACCTTTTAAAGATGTGACCAAATATTATTCTTCTCAACAAACACCACCCTAATTTCCCAGTCATGCCTGAATTGACAATTTCTCTTGGAACCTCTTAGCACTTGTCTGTCCACCCTGCTAAACTAGATCGAGTCTACGAGGTTGGGTTCAACAAGATTTTACAGCTTTGTTTTCTTGCCTCACCCCTTCCTCTGCAGGGTACAGGAGAAATGACATCTACCTGGAGTGTGGAAGAATGGGTGGAGCCTGCAAGCACCAGAAAACCCACGGCTGCTCCATCCTGCCGGCAGAGTGCAAGAGCCGTCACAAGCACTGCTGCAGAGTGTAGCTGGCCCCGGACCTCGAGGCCGAGGGCAGGGAGGGACCTGGCTTCTCTGAGTCCAACTTAGTAAAGGCACCACTGCAACTACAGACCAACAGCTGGCCTTCCTGGGGAGGGGGGTAGGTGAAGCGACAGCCTCCGGCTGGGGAGAGGAGAATGGGGGACACCCTGGTGGGCTGTGATTCGGACAGGGACTTCCTCTCTAAATCTCACTGTACCTGGCTGTTCTCAGAGGTTGCTGCAAGCGCCATCATGTGTCTATGAATCTGCTGTGTGGAAAAAGCTCTGGGGTGTGTGTGTGTGTGTGTGTGTGTGTGTGTGTGTATGTGTGTGTGATCCGTGTGTGTGTGATCCGTGTGTGTGTGATCCATGTGTGTGTATGTGATCTGTGTGGAAAGAGTCCAGCACATTTTAATCCTGCTTCTCGGAGCCACGCCCTGGGCTAATCGACTGTGAACCACTGGCGCTGAGATCACAGCCACAGAATCAGAACCCAGAGGTGACCAGAACCAATGCACACTCCCAAGTCTTAGAAGGCAGTGGCTGCTTTCCTCTCTTCAAAGCCATCATTCCCGATTTCCTTTAAGCATTCCAGCTCTGTTCTGACCCCACCCTTATGCTGTCGCTGTTAGAGAGCACACCTTGAACTCTGGCTCTGCCTCTGCTTCTGCTCTGAAACGCTCCCTTTCATGAAATTCAGGTCTCAGCTGTGCGGAAAGGGCTCCTTGGGTCCTAAGGAGACAGCTGTCAAGCAACCTGCACTCTGGAGAGGTGTTTTGGCTAGAAGACTGTTTCGACCAAAATAAAAGACACATTGTCACTAATCCTGCAAAAACACTTCTCCCTGTTCCAAGCCCACTTATCCACTCTTTCCACATTCTGAAGTCATGCTGGATGACCTCTCCTGTGACTATCTTTAAGCTGTCATGGCTGCTTTAATGTCCTGAACTGATTCAAAATATTTACCATTTTTGGTCTTTTTTTTTTTTTTTTTCTTTGCTGAGCTCAAATTGTCACTAGCCACTTAGGACAGAACACTGCTCCTGTAGGTTCCTCAGTGTTTCTCTACAGCTTAAAAAGAGTTAAAGTATCTTTAAATTTTAAAGTCCTTCAAATATTGGTCATCATCTCCCCAGTTTCCTCTGCAACTGTGATCTTGCCTCCAGATTGTCCCTGGTACTACGGAAGAAATAATTCTGGCATAAAGTCCTTGCGCATTTTTCTTACATCTTGGAAAACATACCATTTCTACTTTTCCTGAATAATTCTTGCTTGATTTTAAGGCTTTGCTCAAATGTGGCTCTTACTAGGAAGATATTTTGACACACCCAGCTTGAGTAGGGTTTTTGTGTCTGTGAACACCCTAGTAAAGCAACCACTAGCGTAGCCCCAGCCTCAAGCACGGATCCTGACATCCAGCGGTTGCTCAGCAGCCGCTGAAGAAATGACGACGTCACTGAGTAAAGCAAACGACACATTTCAGCTTGTCAGTACAGTTTAAGCTCCATGAAGCACGAGTTCCTCAGATCACCATGTTCTCAAACAGCAGTAGCCTCTGCCAGGGCACATCCCTGGCATTCGTAAAACACAATTTTTTTTCCTCCTCAGGCACACGCTGATAACTGAGTCACAATAGTAAAGTAGATTGTGAAGTTTGTCACCACCATGACCTGCGGAGAGATAAGAAGCACTTGTTTTATTCAGACGCATCCAAGCTTGAGTGCAGAAAGAGCCTTCTTCCAGCCAGAGAAGGAATCCCACAAGTTAGCACCCAGAAAGCGTCCTAACTCCCTGTACCTGCGGCTGCTTGTCGCCAGCTCGTCCCACCTTCCATAGACAGGAAGACCCTGCCAGTCTTCAGGCGCTTGCTCTGAATGGAGGGGTTAGTGCTGCCACCTAAAGGACGGGATAGGAATCTCCAGTCGCTGCTCCTGGGACAGCACACCTACAGTCAGCTCCATCGCCCGCCCTGAAACGGCCCAGTTGTGCTGTTTGAAAGTAACCCATTAAGATTCTGTAACTCATCGCCTTGGGCCGGGTTCCCACTGAGCATAGATGATGCCGCAGCCCCTCTCCTACTGAAGGAGTGCCACACACATATTTATAAGCATATTCACGTGATATGCTCCAAACCACCTGCGCCGGTACGTCAGCAACCTTCTGAAATCTGCACATAGATTCCCTGCTTTGAGGGTTTTTTCACGCATCTATGAAAATGCAGTTTAAATATCTAAGTTTCTTATCTTTCAACTAAAGTGCACAGAATAATTATAGGCAACACAAAAGAAGAAGGATTTGAAGAGAGAAGTCAAATCCCACTGTACCCAAAGCCAAGCTTCTGCCTCTTATTAAGTGGAGCAAGTGAACTCTGCCTCCCCCTGAGGTAGAAGGGTCTCAGTGGCCCCTGATGCCTTCAGTAGTCATCAACAGAAGCCACCAACTTCCAAACTCAGGACTCAGAGGTCACTGGCTGGCTCAAGTTGGCCTCCTGGTGGCTGTCAAAGCCATGCCCACCATGTGCGGAGCCAACGCCAAGCCTGCTTTATCCCACTGGTGAACCTCAGCTCTATTTCAACCTCTCTAAGCAGCCCCAGTCAACTCATACAACACAAGCAAAGCGGTTAGAATGGTACTACTAGCAGACATTTCACAAATGTCCTCATCATGGGACCCGATATATCCATTTTTTATTCAAATGAGGCGTTTGTGAGCCTCAGGATTCCCACGCCTGAGGTTTAGCACAACACAGTGTTTCCAAGAAACTGTCCTCTGGGCCACCTTTCTCTGGGGATGATTCACATTGTTCCCCAGGGCTATAACCAGTGTCTTATTATGAGAACTCCTGGAAATTCTTTAGCTTTCTCTAGACAGAAGGAAGGGTGTACGGAGAAAGGAAGAGAGGGAGAAGAGAGGAATTGGGAGAGGGAGAGAAGGGAAAGGAGAGGAAGGGGAAGGGAAAGGAGAAGAGGAGTAGAGAGGAAGGGAGGGAAAGGAAGAGAAAAAGAGATGGGAACTGGGAGAAGAGAAAGAGGAGGAGAAAGGAGGAGGAGGGAAAGAAGCCTCATCTCTCCTACTTGATCAGAAGTCAGCTCACTGGCATCACTGTTCCTAGTGACCCAACAGAACCATGGCTCCTGCAGGGGTCACTGTCGTGCCTGCTGACCCCCACAGCACACAGGCAGCGTGGCCACGGGAGCACGACCCTCCCACCGCTCGTCCCCTGAGCTCACGGTCTGCCGTTGTTCTGATTGACACTCTGGAGGCGCACGAAGCCCTGAACAGAGACATGCAAAGTGGACATTTGATTTTATAAATATAATTGAATAAAAAAGTGAAGAAACAGGAGGAATAAGGTGCGTGGGTGACCGTGAATTTCTCAAGAATCTGAAAAGCCAAGCAGCCCAAGCGCTCTGCGGCGCTCAGCCCAGCCTTGGGATGCAAGGGATAAAGCCCTCCGGAGAGGGACACCGCGGGGTCCTCCCTCGAGGCGTGCTTGGCAGCCTCTGCTCAAGGCGAGCGAAGCAAGCCTCCGTGCTTCTCCCAGGTTGCACTGGTTCCACGTGCGCAAATGCCTCTAGACCGTGCCACGGCCCGCTCCTCCTGACTTGCAGTCTTTACACAGAAGGTCTATAGAAGGAGGTGAGTTGGGGAAATTTAGAGCTCGCCACTTGCTCCAAGACACGTCAGTGAAACCGCGGAGCTGCGGGAGGTCAGCCGCTCGGCCAGGCAAGGCCAGTCCCCCGGCCCCACCTCGCTCTTCCCCCGTGCACTCTCTCACGGCTTCACAGCACCACAAACGGAGCGTTTGGGAGACTCCCTGCGACGACTTTCCATCCTACTGTGGCTCTTAGTACCCAAGTGCTACGGAGGGTCACAGGCTGGAGGACCGCAGGTGCGAAGGGCGGAGGGGATGCAGGGCTCACCTGGCACGGCGTGGAGGATCAAGAGGACAACCACGGCGAGAAGGAAAAGGCATTTCATGGTGCCAGTCTTGGGGCGACCTCCTGAGCCTCCTGGCAGAAAAGAAACAGAGGCACAGAGTATTCAAAACAAAATAAAGCTGCTGCTTTGATAGATTTGATCATGTACAATAGTGGCATAGAATGCCTGCTTGTAAGCAGAATATTAAATAGTTGCCTAAAAAACAGTGGATGTCAGCGCCGACCAAATAGCTCAGCAGATTAAAGCGCCTGCAAGCAGGCACGGGGCCGGGGATTCAATCTCTGCTCCTGCCGTGCCAGGCCCACCCCTGGGGCACGATTGAGACTGGGCATGGTGGCGTGCACCTGGGATCCCTGCCCTTGGGAGGCTGTAAACAGGCGGATCACCACAAGTCTAAACTAGTAGTGAGACCCTGAGCACCCTGCAGACCCTTCCCTAAAACACACACACACACACATGCACGCACGCACACACACACACACACACAGACACACACACACACACACACACACACACTGGATGTCCACTGAATAGGCCCACAGGTGATGCACCGCTGCTGCAGGGGTTTCTTCTGGTAGCTTCTAATTGATTGAGACAGGGAAGAACAGTAATGATAATGAAAGCAAAAGTAAAAGTGGCTCACATTGCAAGAGCATTTACTCTATGAAAAACGTGCATTAGACGGTCCGACCACAGTTTTGTTTGCTATTATATAGCACAATCTGCTACACTGACTCCAAATTCCACTCCCCCCTGGTGCGCACCTGGCCTACCTCTCACGAGCTCCCTCCTGGAGGCTCTGCTCCCACAGGACGTGCAATTAGCTGTTCTGCTCACGAGAGGTCTGCAGCCCTCCACACCAGCCGCCTCTGCTTATATTTGCCATTTGCTCAGGGGCGGACCAGCCCCACATATACCGGCAGGGTGGGCAAGGCTTCCTATGAGGACCCTGCTGACTCGGGTCCCTCCTCCTGGGACAGCGGTGTCTCATGACTGACCAGACCTCGTGGCCTGGACTCTCACACTGCTGAGGCCGGGGCTTCCCTCCCTGCCACAGCGTTTCCAGTAAGAACTGTCCTGAGAAGTGGCTGACTCAAGGGTTTCGGTGCCTTTCCACATTGTCTCTAAA